AGAGAGAGAGAGAGAGAGAGAGAGAGAGAGAGAGAGAGAGAGAGAGAGAGAGAGAGAGAGAGACAGACAGAGCATCTCTCCCACTTCCTCCATGCAGTATCCACAACAGCGCTTGTGCACGGGTCTGTCTCAGTAGCCATGAAGTCAATACACTACGGTTCGGGAATAATTTTGGCAGCCAGGTGGCCTGTCATCCGTTTGCTTTGGACTGTACTGGCTGGGCTTATACACTGAAAATCCACCCAAGCTTGTGGCACTCCTCTTCTAGCGGTGGTGTTCTTGAACACTGCAGCACAACCAGCAAAATGCACCCATCAGGAAAGCTGGGGTCAAGGGAGACCTTGTTATATTGTGCTTGACCGGCCTGGCTTGCCTCCTCTTGGACTGTGCAGACCGGCAAGATTGTCTGACCTGAGCAACTGTGATACACTTGCGGTTTCAGGTGGTCTGGACTCGGTAGGCCCTGGATGCATCTGGAAGCAGTTTCTGAGCTTTTGGGTTTGTGTGTGATGTGTGACTGTGGTTGACTTCTTGAGACGTCTGTGACTCTGTGTCTGCTGCACCCAGCAGAACCTGGGCCTGAGTTACCCTAGGCCCTGCAGACTCAGTCTGCCTGCTGCGCCCCAAAGCTGCTGACCTCAGGATGTCTGGACGTGCCCCTAAAACCCCACAGCTTGACTTTTGAACTAGAACTTAGACTCAGCAAGAAGAAACCACCCACAGACTGTTCTATTGTTGGTTCTGACCATGAACGTTTGAAGCATGTCATTGCTCTGGAAACTGTACCAACCTCCTTCGTATAACAGATTCAGTTGCCCGTCGGCTTGCTTGCCTCTCCTCTCCTGTTCAGATTGACGCTGAAATTTCAATTGTGCCCTGCGGCGCATCAGATGTGAAGACCACACTACTGAACACTCTCCGCGAAATGAAAGCTACCAAAGTCATCATGGAGATGACAATACAGAAATGGTAAGTGACCTTTTGACTCTTCTCAGACTGAGGCCATGCAAGTTGATAGATATGGACAGTTCAGTAAGCACTTGGCTTTTTTTTTAAGCAACGGGAATGTTGTGCGTGGTGATGTAGAAAAGGCATATAAGGTGGCCTAGCAGCTGATTTTGGCAGGCCTGCAGCCCCTTCTGCCCCCATTTCCTCGTCTTTTCTTCCAACTTCTCCATTCTTGCCCGGCATTTGTGTGGATAAGATTCTTTTTCATTTCTTAATGCCATCAATTGTTTTTGCTCGCCTTGTAGGCCTGTATCCAATATCTTGTGTGCCAGACTTTCAGTTTTTGGCAGACAGCCTGAGATATGTATTGCACATGTTTGGGTGCCACACTCATGTATCTGTAAGCATCTCTTGGTATGAAAGGTGTCAAATGTGACTGGAACATGCTGTGGAGTTCTGGGGATCAGATTTGCAACGGTACAGGTTATGTGTTGTTTGTAAATGGCCTCAGTCTCCCCCTTGTCAAGCACTTGGGAAGGAGCCTCTTAGATCTCTAGGTAGTAGGAACACAAGAAATAATGTGCATGACTGCTAAGAAGATGCAGGCACACAACAGAACCATCAGCATCTTATAAAAATGGCTATTGTGGGCAGGAGTGTCTATCAAAAAAAGAAAGAAGATCAAGCTTATCATCCAAGCAGTTTTCACAACTTTTCGGCGATTCAACATGGATCGGGAGTTCATATGAGGGATATTGGCTGGACAACAGTTTATTGCAGGTCTTACAGCAGAAAGACAACTGAGGAGAATATCTGTTGAAGGAGTTTGATTGTTGAGGGCAGAAATTTTGAGGGGGGGAAGGGGCAAGAAGTGATTCCGTGATGACAGAGGCAGATTTCTTGGCTGTTATCTAATCCATTATGCATTTATAATTTTATATGGATGTGTGAATAGTTGTCTTTTTATCTATCCATCATAGGGGTTCTGTTCACCACTTGCGTGCAATGGGTGTGGATTCTGTCTCTGTCTGTCAAATAATGAACACAATGATGGTCGTCGATACCTGGGCATCTGTGCATCTCTCTTCAACGGGTGGTTCCTGCAATGCACCTTCCACCTTGTCCAATTTGGGAGGGAGCAGATTCTGTGCTTGTCAAAGAACGTTTTCGGTTGTTTGCCAGATGTATGAGCGGCAAGGAACTTGCTTACCGTGAAGGTGCAGACCTGGGCAAGGTAAAGAGTTGCAAGCCCCCTGCGAGGCTCGCAGTGGTATTCTTTGCAGTTTGGCCAAACCTATCCAGCCAAATGTGTGTGGATCCCTTCTATGGTGGAAAATGTCACCGTTGTCCATGTTCCGTCTTTGCAGTGATCCCCCTTCTACGGCGAAATCATTGTGTCAACTGCTGCTCTCCTCTTCTCCATCCTTGTAAGTTGTAATAGCTACTGCAGTCTTCATCACCTTGCTGCTCCTGGCGGGCACTTGCCTTGGCCAACTTAGGTTGGGGAGTAGGAGAACTATGCGCCCTGCAACTGGAAGAATTGTTCTCCCCAAATTGTGTAGATGTAGCTGTGCTATCTACTGGCCCTATTCTTTTACCGATCTTCTTGCTTTGCATCTTGATCTGAGTGTCCCCTGCAGCCGCATCTCACACACAGGCCGTTCTCCATTCTATCACACAGTAGTACCTATGCGCTTTTTTCTCCCACTGGGACACGATTTCGCTCGCTTTGCTGTTTCAACATCCTTTGCTGCTGCGGTGGCTATTTTCCTCTCACCAATTTTGTCGCTTGCAGTGCAAGAAAGATTGTACGATTTTGCTCTCCCTGCGAATCGAATGTTGGTCTCTCCTCTCTCTCCTTTTGGGGGCTTTCTTTCCTCTTATCCTTTGAACTTCACACATTGCTTTTGTCACTGAAGTATGCCGGCCTTTCAGTAACTGCAGCATGCATCTTGCATTTGTGCCAAGTGGGCCGTCCTCCCATTCACAGGAGCGAACCTGTTGCTGTCCTTAATTGGCCTCCTTGTCACTGATGTCCCTTCAGCGAACCGCTATGCAGAGTCTAATTTGAAAGCCTCCTTTGAACGTCCCCCATCTAGGTGGCGCGCGGTCCTTTTTGGAAGAGCCCTCATGAAAGCATACATAATGGGGCCTTCCCCAATCTCCAATTCTGGTGCCTGCAAGATCCGATTAAATTCCCAGATCAGATCGTGCACGCTACCACAGAAAGTTTGATGTGAACAACTCTGCATATCGGGCCCATGGTCGATCTTGACGAAAAACGGTCGTATACCGCTCCCTCAAATTTTGGGAAAATTCCAGTCATGTAGTACGCCTGGCATACTCAGCAATATCTCCACTAGCTTGCAACACTTTACTATCCGCCCACTCCCTCGCTGCGTCCAAGATTGCGGAAAATGCAAAATGGATTTTGTCGTTATCCCCAGTGAGCTCATAATAGTCAAACTATCGGTTGATGTCCCTGGTGAGCTCATAATCATCCAACTGTCCGTTGATGGTGCCTCTAAATTTGGTCGGCGCCTCCGGCATCAACTTTTTTTTTTTTTTTTTTTTTTTTTTTTTTAAACACAGAACCTTACGGTTCTGGCTCCTTTTCCATTCTGGGGAGCATCAGTCCGGTTCCTATTCCACCGGCAAGTCAGAAATGATTACAAAAGGTACTCACCCACGCCTCCAGCATCAACTTTAATATCCGCTTCCCCTCAGTTTCTGCCTTTGCAGTTTTCTTGGGGGAAGAAGGTGGTGTACTTGGACTTACTTGACCTTGCAGCTTGGAAAATAGCGTCCAACTTGTTGTTGATGGGCGTCATGTCCTTCTTCAGTGTGACCAGCTCATCTGGATGGGAAGATTGCAATGTGGAGAGGGCTGCCAATATATCTCCCATCGGCGGTTTGCTCTGCCGCAATCCACTTGGAGTCTGCTTTGCCTTCCTTCTTCATTTCCTCTTCCTCCTCCTTCCTTGTCCGGTCTTCTAATCGTGCTCTCTTTGCCTCCAGTGATGGAAGCTCGTCCTTTGCATTTGTCACCATAGCTGGTTTCTTCTTTGTGACCCTCTTCTTCTTTTCAGCGGTGGACAACCACTGATGTACATGGGCCTTTCGTTCTCGCCTTCGAGCGTGTCAAGAACATGAACACTCTCCGTGTCTTTTCCAACTACCTTTCTTCAATTCAACTCCACTGTTCTCTTCTTGTTGTCAATGGTTCTTACCCTATTGATAAACTGTGCTAAACAAGGTACAACTGGAAGTAGGTTGATGCCCACTGGTGGAAGACAATTTCTGACACGACAAAGATGCTGATGTGGCAGCTTGGAGTACCCAATCACTTGGCCAACGTCCAGATCGTTGCCAGCTCTTATACCAGTGTTAGGAAGTTGGCAAACTTCAACTTCTTTCCATGCGCAGCACGCAAACATACTGAAGTGAAGACAACTTTCGAAGACGGCAATTGGCGAAAAGCTTTACACCAAGCTCATATTGGACAATCACACCATCACTCTTGATGAAAATTGAAAAAGGTGATGTCCGCTTGAGGGCCAGGCTGCACTGACCAGTTTGCAACAAGCGGAACTCAAATCCGTGCGGTATAGGACTGGCTATGGTGCACCCAAACCCTCATTTTCATCTGCCAAGATTGGCGCTGCTGCTCCTTCTCTTCACTTCACCTAAAACATCATGAACTGAAAATGAATGAACTTTAGTCCTAGCTCGTCACTTTTTGTTATGCCAATTTTGCCTGGGCCTAGAGGGTCCTCCCAGGCAGCCTGGAGAATTCCAGAGCTCCTCTGTCTTGTGCAAGGAACATGAATATGGACGAAGCACAGAAATCCAGATTGCAAAATCACACTGAAGTCCAAGTAGTCAAAGCAGGAGCAGATAGCACAATGGAACCGAGTAACCATCCATTTGAGAACGATACAGAAGAATCGTGAGTCAATGTCCAAGCCCAACAGGGCAACACCAACAGCATAACCCAATGTAGCTCTCTCTCTTGAATGGCRCCAGGCGCCCTACCTACTCTACASCCTATCTCTACAACTACAGTATGAAAGCAACCAGACAACTTGACGACCAGYGAGKGATGATGTCAACACCAATGCCGACCTCCCATCTCCACCAGGTACGTCTCCTTCTTCACCCACACTCTCCCTTGTTATCCCACACAGCGCCCTTCACCTCCGAAGAACCACCATCGCCCCTCACCTCCCTCAGCGCCCACAGGCAGCCCGGCTATGGCCGCCAGCGCCCTGTGCACATGCAGCGCCCTACCGCCTAGCGCCTGCCTGCCCTTCATCTCAGCCTAGCGCAGCGCAGCTGCTCGCAAACGCGCAGCATGCTGGCATTGCCCGCAATGCCCAAGATCCCTGCCCACTCGCCCTGCTTGCCTATATGCCAGTGTTGCGTGCGGGCGGCCTCCCTTCAGCCTGCGCCTGGGCCCAGTACCTGAACCCAGCCCGATGCAGTTGGGGCCCGGGAGATGCAGTTGCGCCTCTTTCATCAAGGCCTGCGGCCAGATTCAGATAGTGAGCCGGTTTCCCCATTGGCATTTTCGGCCTCTATATCCAGCATGCATTGTCGTCCTCACGTTTATGTGCCCAGGGCAGGGCCCTGGGATTTCCGCATTTGCAGAGATCCGAGACTCGGTGCACACCAACCAACTGGCGTGCTGCAACTGTATGGACCCCACTTCGTGAAATGTTTGAACAAAGGGCTCTTGTTGATTTGCTGGCCCGCCTTCACTTAGGGCGGGCACCAGGCTTGCTGGGGGCCTTAGCCCAGAACATGTACATCACGGCAAGGCCCCTTCTTGAGGGCTCAATCCTCACACTTGCCACTCCACAAAAGTCACAAACTGGAACTGAATGAACTCTACTCCTAGCTCCTTACTTCTATTGCCTCCAATTTTGCCTGGTCCTACAGGGTCCTACAGGACACCCGCTTACAGAGTTCTAGATGTCTAGGTCCTACAGGATCCTATGTGTCCAAGCATATCGAGCAGTATTCTTACTTGGAGGTGCCAGGTTCGAATCTGACTGTCAACAAATTTGAAAAACACAATATAAAACCGATTTACGCCTGCTTCACACTCGAGTCAAGTGTCGGGTTCAAATGCCATGAGCCGAGCTATATTTGGTTGCGGAGTCTACGCAGTGGATGGATTGGCAGTTTCCAGGATCAGGGGCAAACTGCGATGGTTATTGTAGGTATGCGTTGTTGGTAGATGTGAAACCTTGTGTCCTATCATTGGACACCTTGATCTCATTGACCCCATTGTGTGGTATACACATTTCATTATTTCGGCAGTCCTCGACGTATTTGGTTGCAGAATCTTCACAGTGGATGGACTGGCAATTTTCAGGGCCTTAAACCACCAGTACATGCCCCCAGGCAACTGGAGAACCTGTTTTGAGCCTCTCCTAAAATTTAGGAGGCCGAGCGCCGTAGATAAAATGAATCGGTGGCGGGCGGCCTCCGAAAGGGGCCCGCGACGGATGGCTGGCATGTACTGGTCTGGCAATTTTCAGGGCCTTAAACCACCAGTACATGCCCCCAGGCAAGTGGAGAACCTGTTTTGAGCCTCTCCTAAAATTTAGGAGGCCGAGCGCTGTAGATAAAATGAATCGGTGGCGGGCGGCCTCCGAAAGGGGCCCGCGACTGATGGCTGGTATGTACTGGTGCTTTACGACTTACAAGAGCACGATCCGTCACAATTGGATGGAAAAAAGTGACCATGTACGTATGATGGTTGGCACGTTTGTTCGTCTTGTGTTTGAAGGCCAATTTCGGCAAAGAGTGCAATTGTGGATTCATTCTGCAAAGAGGACGTTCCATGTGAGGTTATTGTCATTGGGAAGGACCGAGTTGTTGCCACTTATGTCCCTCAACTGGCTGCGGGTTCTGCAGACTGTGCCACAAACCTGCTCAGCGATGCGTCTACAGGGCCTGCTCTTTCCAGCGGTCTTTCTAAAGACAGTACTGACGGCAATGCTTCGGATGATGACGATGCAGGAACAGGTTGGTACAAGAACATGCAAAGGGTTTAATAAACTTTATTCGTCTGAATGCAACTGTCCCGTTAGTATTCAGCAGTGATGTTGTACCAGCAGGAGTGGAAGATGTGACTACTGAAAAAAACTAGTTCCTGAACTCAGGAATCAAAACTCCAGCGAATTCACACAGACTTAAACATACTTACAGCACACCACATGCACATGACTTGAACATCCAGTGAATCATGCATGGTGCACAGGTGCGTGCAGGCAAGTCCCAAGAAAAAAAAAGAAAAAATCAAAACGGGACGTTGGTTAAAATAATAAAATTTAAAAACTTAAAATTGAAACGATACAGAGAAAAATTTGCGTGACCCCTGCGCAAGGATGACATGCGTAAATCGAGAAATGGTCAAGAAAGAGAAAAAAAAAAAGAAAATAAATGATATGGACTTTTTTGGGGGGGGTTCTATTAAAGCAATGGTCACGCTTACTTTCTGTCAAAACAATGGTTACCCTGGACCCTGGACCAATGTGGATAGTCTGGACAGATTCTGGATGTTTTGATTGACCGAGACAAAGGGGTGCCCCCACTTCCACCCCTCCCCCCCCCCCCTTCACAAGGGGGAAAAAAAAAAAAACACCTTCTATTTTTTCCCTCAGATTTGGCTATGAAATAGTATGAATTTGTTTTTTCTGTTTTTTTTTTATTATATATATAACCAACTTTTATTGTACAAGCCAGGAAACGAGCCTGGCGTCCCTTAGAATGTTGTGGAGCCCATCCAGAAAGCAGGGCATCACCGGCCAGGCTGTAAGGAGGTGCTGCATTGAGCAAAGCGACCCACAAACATAGCACACTCCCCTATCTGATGGGCACTGTTTCCAGCCTACTGAACAGGGCAAACTCCATCCTACTCAAAAAGGGGTAAAACTCAAAAACACTGTATCAGGGGCCCAAACCCACTAGCCAAGTATTCTATGATGTGTGACACGTTATTTGCGTTTTTTACAAGATAAAAAATGATTGTCTTTGTATTGAAAAGAAAAACAAAAGTGGAGTTTTTTTTCTGTATACGTGTGATCTGAGTCAACCACGGACGCCGCAGTACACGGATTGTGATGATACCCGCCGGCTTCCCCCATTAGGAAAGGACCTCCCAAGACCTCTCGCAAAGAGGGACCATGAGGGGAGTGTGCTTCCCGCATTAGGAAAGGGCCTCCCAAGACCTCTCACTTTCTATCATGAAACTCGTGAATGTGCCCGGATTCCTCGCTACATGCGTTGGCCATTGCATGCATCTGCTGCAAGATGACGGCTATGTTAATTTTGCTGTTCACGAGTCGTCCAGGCTGATCCTCATGCGGTTCACGTGGGCGTCAGAGTGACTGAGCATCAAACGAAATTGTACGGATGCCAAACAATTATGGGCGTTTTATTTTTTTAGGTCACGACACGGCCGAAAACAGCAAGGCGCTAAGTTGTGAAATCGCCCCTGCCCACCTGCGAAAGTTTGGAAAACCAAACAGAGCTACAGTGCAAATGGAATAAAAAAATCAGAAAATGAAGTCGTTTATGTGTCGCGGATTGGTGGAAAGTTGGAAACGGTGGCATTTTCTCCATACCAACTTCATGTTGACATGACCGTGAATGTTGTGAGCCATCCACGGACAGCATGTGTCACCACGATTTGCCACATGTGATACAAAACTATGGCAAGTAGGTGGAATACTTGGCTAGTGGGTCCAGGCCCCAGTACAGCGAAAACCAACCTAACAAGACCCAGCTAAACCAAGGAAAAGCAGATTTGGCTATGAATTTGGAGCTGACCCTCAGCCCAAACTTGTTTGTATTGCCATGATTGTTATGCCATCATATGGATGGATGTTTCTCATCGCTTTTGAATGTTACAAAGCTACTGTCTTCACCCGAATAGAATGCCCAGTGATTACAGCTGTATTTGGGGCGACTTTCAGTCTAGATGCAGCTATAATTACCAGGCGTTCTATTCGGGTGACAACGGTAGTTGTTTTCATGTATGTTTGAATTTTTGAACTGACGTCTTCTATAGCATGCGAGGTTTGCATTCTGTTTTGAGAGGGGCTCAGCAGAGTGAATGGAGGCTGACAGGAAATTGGTGTTTCGTATGTTTGCCAGTTCATTCGCATGCTCTTTCACACTGCACCGCTCCTTCAGTTGCTCGCCTCTATGCACCAAAACAGATCCAGGTGCAGCAAGGGCAGGGTGACAAATTTCCACAGCCACCGCTTTCTGAGAGCAGTTCGTCGGCAGGTGATATCCAGCAGAAACCTGCTGCTGCTGTGGAGTCCACTGGGGACACCTTCAATCAGCTATTAACCAACTTTCTGGAGAAGTTGCCGTGGTCGAAGCTTGGAAGTCAAACTACTGAACCACGTACTGAGGCCAAAGGAACTCCAGGGTGCAGCAACTCCGCCAGGACGTGGTCGCTCTGTAGCCCCACCGCGGCTTCATATTCCACAGTTGCTGCACCCAACATGTCTTTAACAGGTGCAGCAGATGAGCAGCCTTCTGACCACTCCGCATTGAACTCCGAGCCTTCCACCAGCGCAGTCAGCTTGCCATTGGAGGGTCCAGGTGTGCGTCCGCCGGGCTCACCGTCTTTGACTGAAAACCCTGCCCCTGCTGGAGAGAAGTTGACGGGCCAGACAACAACAGTGTCTTCGGGTTGCGTTACGTCGTCGCATTCGTGCCGTGCAGAGGGTCATCGCCAAGAGACCAATCACGGGGAAGAGTATGAGTGCTTGGCTGATGGGGATAATGAAGAACACGGTGTTCATGTTAGAGAAAGCGCGGCTGGCCGAATTTCACGCTGTGATGATGCTGAGGTCGAGGCGACTCCCGTCAGAGTGTTTCCGGACTGTGTTGCTCGAGAGATGAAGGAGCCAGAAAAAGATGCCGTTGATGTGCAAGTGGCAATTAGTAATGCAGCAAATGCTGTGCGATTCCTGCCAGATGTACTGGTTGATTTACCCATTGTGGATAATTCTGGTGAAGCGAAAGCAGGTGAACTTGGATCCCGCACAGAAGTGTTGGAGTGTGTTGCTGAGAAAGAGGATGTGGTTCCATGTGAGGAGGGAGGATTGCATGGTGCACTATTGTCACCGTCGCCACAGACGTCATCGGTATCATTGCCAGTGTCGACATCATTATTATCATCATCGTCATCTCCATCATTGTTGTTGCCGTCATCATTGTTATCACCATCATCACTGTTGCTACCATCATCATTGTTGTCATCGTCATCATCATCGTCTTCGTCTTCATCATCACTGTTGTTGCCGTCATTGTTATCATCATCCTCACCATCGTTGTTGTTGCCGTCATCATTATCAGCATCACCGTTGCCATCATCATCATCATCATCATCATCATCATCATCATCATCATCACCATCATCGTCATCATCAGTGTCATCTCTTTTGCAGGATGGAAGATACCATCACAACGCGAGCACAGGTTTGAATCAGGCCGACGACAGACAAGGGAAAGCCTGTGCTCTGAGCGGGAGCTCTTACGGACGCGGTTGGACTTCAAAGTCGTTGGGTTATCTCCAACTGGCACTGCTTGAAGAGGTACTCTTTAATGCCCAGCCCTATGAAACCGTTGAAAACTATGCTCACACCTGTGCCTTTTGTTTTTCCATAACAGAAGCTCAACTCTATCAGTGGGAGAGCTGCACATCCCGGAAAACGGGCCCAGTGTCTGCTGAAAAAAGACAACATAGAGACCCGTCCAGGTCTGGAGTCGCTCTAACAAAGAGAGTAGAAGAACGACCGTCTTCACCCGAATACAACGCCCAGTCATTATAGCTGTATTTGGTGGAACTTTCAGTCCAGATACTGCAATAACTAGCGGGCGGATGACCAATGTAGGGGGAGAGACTGCAAAGGTGACTGTGGCAGGAAGGGAGAAACTGCTTTACAGTGTTTAGACTCAAAAGGAGATGGAGCCATTTGCTGCATGTCTGTAGTTACAATATGCACGAGGAATGGGCGTTCGAAGAGGGTTGTGTGGAGCCGATAGGGGAGGTTGACGGCAGCGATACCTAGGAGGGAGGAGTTGTTGCCGAAGTGGAAATCAGGGGAAAAGTGGTGAGAGGACAGTCATCACCACAGGGGCGAGGGCCAAAACCGACCATCTTCCTTTGCCCCAGTGAAAAAGCCATAAACAAGGAGAGACAGTAGAAATGCCGTCCCTTCTACAAGGACTGATGAGGTAGGAGAGAATCTGAGCTGTGCAAACTGTACCTCCCTCACCGTCTCAGACTATGGTGGCTATTCATGGCCACTGATCCTCGTTGAAGTTGAGGATAATGGCAAGGACATTGGTGCCTTAACTGGCATAGGATCAACTCAATACGTTAGCTGTTCACGTCTAGGGAAGTTGCCTCGTAGTGAGAAGATCCAGGTGCTAAGTAGGCCTATAGTCTCCACTTTGGCCAGCAAGATGGAAGTTAATGTAGAGTACTACATCAAGGGCATAGCCTGCTCCGGTGTGAGAGGGAGAAGTCGACACATGCTGTCCTTTTTTTGTCAGTGATGACCAGCCTTTTGACATGATACTGGGCATACTACCGTGTGTGAGGGGTAACTGAGCAAAGGGCGATGAGGCAGACACCTCTTGTGTGAGGCAATGATAATGTGGGATGAAAAGTCTCTGAAGTAAGAGACTCCTGATAGAAGGTGGTTGACGTGCAATTGGTGTCAGCCTCGTCTCGCCTCAACCAATCCTATTACAATTTCTAGCAGAACGAAAGCATGTATCTATTGTTCGCATGTAAAGACTCTTAAAGCGAGAAGTCCTTATTGAGCTTGCGGACCTTCAGTGAGAGCCTGTAGGAGCTGTAAGCAGGGACATACAACATGCCATGGAGATTGACCCGGGAAGTAAGGGGCACAGTGGAGCTTATGCGCTTTGCAATCAACTCAAGGAACTCACTGATAAGGGTTGGATCAGCTCCTCGGCGTACGCCGTACTGGTCACCTGCATTGTTTGTGCCCATGAAGGGAGGTGCCTTGTGGATGTGGATTGGCTACAGGTTTCTCCATGGCATGGCATCGCTGTTCATAATGTGCGACTGCGAATTGAGAACCTCATTAGCAGGCTGCAGGGAAGGATGTGAGGAAGCCAGATCTGAACTCCAGTTACAATAAGATAGATGTAAGACCAGAGCGAGGATCATCACAACACCGTATTTCAGACTCAGTATGGATTGTATAAGTTTGTTGTTGTATCCCCTTTGGGCTCTGTGATGCACTCGGTATATTCCAGTTTGTCAGATATCGTGTATTTCATGGTTGAAGTTGTTATGGTGTATCTGGAAGTGTGGAGGACATTCTTCTTCCTTTCCCTTTTCGAATGCAACTGCCCCGCCTCGGCAAAACTGGGTGCGCAGTGAAAATCAGGCTCGGCAAAAACAGGATCGGAGGTAGTGGTGGTTTAAATAAATAAAATAACATAAAATGAAATTGACCGAAAGTAAATAAAGTAAAGCAAATTCTTCCTGTCTCTCCCCTAGTATCGTTTCTCTACTACGAGCTATGGTGCCAGGGAGATTTGACTAGTAATACCCTCGACCTTCCCTGTGCTCTCATCCATGGCCAGGTCGCGCAGTAACGCAGCAGTGCTTCCGTAACAGCCCGGATATCAGAGTAGTCACGCCGACGGTCACTGCCCCTGGATTGGCCTGCTGCCAACCAGCCGACCGTTTTACCCCTGGCACCTACCAGTCTGTGGTAAGTCAGCACCCCACATTAAAAAAAGAAGGAAAAAAAAAGCAGGGTCCAATGGGTCCATAACCCCCAATAACCCCACCGAACACCCCCATACCACCCCCCCTCTTCCCCCCAACACCCCC